ATGATGCACTCAATATTCTTATATTCCTTCTATTTGAGATTTGGTTCTGCTAGCTTAACGGTTAAGCTAGCAAAACCCATGATTTCTTTAAAAAAACAGTATGCGAAAAAATTGGCAATAGGCTAGGATCAGAGCCTTAAATTAGTCTGAAATTATGGCATAATCAGGTTTGTGATTGAAGTTTTTTTTGGTTTGCTACTGGTTTGTCATGTTTGTCAAGTTGGATTTGGGACATTTTTTGCAGAAAATGATTTTCAAAAAAATCGATAATAGGTTCAACGAAGAGCCTAAAATTAGCCTTAAATTATGGTGCACTCGATATTCATATATTCCTTCTATTTGAGATTTGGTTCTGCTAGCTTAACGGTTAAGCTAGCAAAACCCATGATTTTTTCAAAAAAACAATGTGCGAAAAAATTGGCAATAGGCTAGGATTGGAGCCTAAAATTAGCCTTAAATTATGGCATAATTAGTTTTGTGATTGAACTTTTATTTACGAAGTGGTTCTGCTAGCTTAACGTTAAGCTAGCAGAACCCACGTTTTTTTACATAAATCGACGAGCAATAAATTCGGCAATAGGGTAATAAATTAGCCTTAAATTAGCCTAAAATTATGGCCGAAGAAAAAATTGAAAAATTCGAAGTGGTTCTGCTAGCTTAATGGAGGTATTATTTAGACTCTGGTAGAAGTCCATGTTTGCTCAAAGTGGAGTGGAATTTTTTGAAAGGAAGAAGGAAAGCTAAAAGTCATCTAGTGGAGATGACTGAGCTTTTCTTTTTCCATTTGTGTTTATTTAGGTGTGCATGAAGAAGACAACGTTCAATGATTTTTTAATTGAAAATGTAAACAAGAGGCGTAGGTTGACAAGCATTCATCTGTAGATATTGACTTATACTTTGATGAAGGTACCATTTCCTATTTGAAATGTTGAAGAAAATTCAAGAGAAATAATGTCATTTGAAAGAATTACTATATGGATTCCTGAAAAGTAGTTGTTTTCTGTTGAATATTCAGAATGATATTGTTTGCATATACATATTTTTATCTGAAGGAGAATGCAAATTTTCAACTTCAGAGGATTTTGTTTTCAAATTCTTATCGTGTGTGTGTGTTCAATAGATATAATTCCATGTTCGTCGTGGCATTTAGCCAAGAAAGTAGTTGTGTGTGACAACAGTTATTAGTCATCTCATTGTAAGGGAGGTTGGAATTAATTACATTACGTCCAGGCAGGAATCAAGAAAACATAACCTTGCCACAGACCTTGCCTCTACCCAAACATATTTTGCTGGACTTGAGTCTCTGAAGAGGTAATTTTTCTACCGCAGTCACTCTCATTGGGGCAAACGGAGTCTCCTGCCCAGATCTTTGATGATACAGGGTGTCTCAAGGTCTATTGTATCTTAGATGTATATTGAAAACGGGACATTGATCTAACGACTTGAAATATTTTCAGCGATGCAGTGTTGTCGCTTATACCAGAATATGTGATATTTCAGATGAGACATCCTGTAGGTATAATTTTATATTTTTAACCGCGGTATCTAGATTCGTGGAAACCTGAAATTTTCGGTGTAGCATATACCAATGCCCTGTGTATTATTTTCAGTGGAGAGTTTTGTCCTGCCTTATACAGAGTCGCTTAAACTTCGTGATATGACCACTCTATGCAAAAATGTTGGTCTTTTAATGAAAATTTGACCCGCCGAGTACTCTTGTTTTCCTCAGGTGGCGAGACGCATCAGAAACAATTGAGTGACAAATCGTAATTTTCTTAGTGCAATATATAGTTTTTATCATGTTAACTTCTTCTAGAATTTCTAATAATTTTGATGGCATTTCAAATCTGAATAAATCAGATTGAAACTTGTATCATGTAGATTGACTCACTTGCTCCGTTCAATAATATCACTTTCTATCCACATGAAAAGTATAAGCAACAAACCCACGTGCTCCAGATGCGGGGCAAGTAGAATCTATAGGACGGTTGCTAGACAAGAATTACATCGATTACTTTTTCTAGACGAAATAGTCATGATGTGAACATGAAAATCAATTTCCAATTCAAAACACACCTATGTATTTCAATTATTGCATAGTTTTGAGGTTCCGAAGTCAACCTATTGAAATCCTAGATCCCACTTATCCCACTCCATCTTACACACAGTTTGTCCCACTTCTGATGGAGCATCCACCCTCGTATCGTCTACTAATTATGGAGGTAGAAGTCTGGAATCAGTGATCAGAAATTGATATTGGGAGGCGATATAGGTTGTGAATTTCTATTGATTAGAAATCAGGATATCAATATTACTGCTGATATACCTATTTCCAGAAAAATGTTCAATCCAGAAAAGATACAATAAAGCTACAGAAAACAGAACTTCATTCTTACTCTTTAGATGAAAAAAAAAAAAACGAGAAGACATTTGAAATGAAATCCTCAAATTACTTCGGCGCAGGCAGGTCTATGCTGTCAATGAAGATCTTGCTGAAATCACAGCCTGGGGAACAAACAACCTAGTTGAATTCAACGCCACCAAAACTCAAGCCTGCATTTTCTCTAGAAAGGCGGAACTCAGTATGCCCGATATTGTAATGTCTGGCTCCACCATCCCCACCAAGCCCACCATATCTATGCTGGGTATTTCCATCAGCAACACTCTTTCATGGGATAATCATGTCAGATCCATCGCAAAAGCTGCTTCACAAAAACTCGGATTCTTGTTCCGTGCGAAAAGCTACTTTACACCTCAACAGCTTCTCATGATCTACAAAGCGCAGATACGGCCTGTTCTAGAATACTGTTCCCACATATGGGGTTCAGCACCAAAACATACGCTGATGCTCTTAGATTCCATCCAGAGAAGAGCCATTCGCCTGGTGGGTGACGCCACACTCACTCACTCTTTGACATTATTGGAACACCGTTCCTTTCGTTGTCAACCTCGAAAGATGTCGAACAGCACTTTATCAAGACTCTTTCATCCATAGAACGGCTAGGCTCTGGAATTCATTGCCTGTGGAAGTATTCCCAACAACATATAATCTCCAAAAGTTCAAAAAAAATTCCAATACCTACCTCCTGTCCCTATCCTCCCCAGGAACGCACGATGTTCTTTGAACATTATAGGGATTCCCTTTCGTGCGCTCCAAGCGATAAAAAAAAACTTCTGACACAGAAGGTAGTAGAAGTCCATGGTATCTCAAGGTAGAGTAGGTGAATAGGCGAAGAATAGACCATAAGTAAGATGCGATCACTTAGAGTATTTTTTATTCTTCTTTATTCAAAGTCAACCAGAACTATATTTTCCCACAAAATGATTCTGTAAAGAAATAAAAAATATCATGAATATGAGCCGTCATATTAGTATATGAATGTTTCCTTCAACAGAATGATACATCATTATTTTGGACTGGAAGACAATAGGACGTTTTTTTTTAGATGCAATAATTTTTGTCAAACTATTATGGTCTTCCCACACTTATGAATATTTTTCAAATCTAGAAGTATATTTCGTTCAATTAATGTGCAGAGTAGGGCTTTTGAAGAGTAGTGTTCTCTAACACTGTTTCCATTCTATTCTGTATAACTTCCTCTATCAAAAAATGTATGGCTGTCTGCTTGAATTAGATGTGGGGCTGTCCACTGAATACCTACGCATGTTTGGGAGTAGAGAAGGTAGTGCTTTAGCGCAAGTTTGAAGATTGAAGGAGTGTAAGTCAGCATATGAATATTTTAAAAATAGTCACGTTTGAAATGAAACTGTTCTACATTATCTGTATTTTTATTCTTAAGCTTTGCATGCAACTGAAAAATTCTCTATTTTGATACCGGTTTTTTTTAAATGTTCGAATTTGAGGTGAACTGCTATTATTATTTGAAATAGAAGGTTTTTCTATAATTTGGTTATTCGAATATGAATTCTTGTACCATATCAAAGAAGGTAATTTTGATTTATAATGGGAATCTGATGATTAAAATTTACGTCATCTCATAGGTACCAATATAAAATAATAATAAATGGTTTAATTTTATATTTTGATCCAGAGGTGGAATTCTTGTTGACAAGTTTTTTTTTTCTGAGAATGCTTAACGATAATTATAATAATTTTTCAAGTTGTCTTATATCGAATCTTTTATCAATGTAGATACGGAGAGGTTCACAAAATTATGATTGAACTTGTGACAAAAAAGCGTGATCGAGATCAACAAAACCATTAACATGATGTAATTCATGGATAGCCCCAGTTTAGTATTATCTGCAATGTTTAGACGTCCACTAACGAATCATCTACAAAAATCTCTTACATCTGACTAACTGATCAAATTCCAAATGAAAACCACTGAGCCCTTCACTTTTTTTATAGGTGGAAAATGTTGAGGGCATGGTTACACAAACTCGGAGTGACTTAGCGAGTGATCAAATATTTTTATGATATAAACATATGGTTATAAGTCAAGGGGTTTAAGGTAATTAATTGATTTCAAATATTCTAGTGAACTAACAACCCAACAACTAACTTTTAATTACCAAGTCATCCTGGTCAATATCTTCATTCTTCAAAATTAACTGGTATTATAATAATAATAGTAAAAATAATACACATTTGATTCTATATAAATAGATATTGCCTCAAAAGCCTGTCACCGCCACTCATTCGAGAGATTTTTTTGTACATGAATATACATTCGATCTAGACTTCCTACTCCAAGACAAGCCTAATGGATCAACGAATTTGATTGAATTTCATGATTCGAATTTCTATAATATGTTGACTTATATTCTCAGCATATAAGAAAACATTACAGTTGGACGATACATTGTTATTCAGTGTTTATGTAATGTTTTTTGAATTGATGTTCCATGGATGACATATGTTTAGTTCATATGAGCCATAATCAGTGGGTTACATATTTCAATCGAATTAGGTTCAGAGGGAAATTGTTTCTGAAGCCCAAGTAACACCTACAAATTATGTTCATTTTTCCTTACAGGTTAAACCTGTGGTCACCACAGAACCAATCATCCTGAACCAGACAAACAACATAGTCAAGACGACAACTGCACCCGCTAAAAATCCCAATACAGTTACTCCTGGCCAAGGAAGTACCATTCTCCAGTTCATATGCAAGTCCTCCTTGCCCAAATTTCAACAAGCTTTCGGAAAAACGGTATATCAAAACAACTCTGAATCAACCGATTCACCTTCTACAACTGTTGAAACAACATGCTACAACGCCACAGTTGACACCAAGCCAAAGGTCGTTAAATCGGTACCAGTAAACATCCAACCAATACAAGGCAGTGTCATCTACAGTAGGCAAGTTCCTGTCGGGCAAACAATTAGCCTAATCCCTAACAGTGGTACGACACGTCAAGTATTCCGCATCGCAACTTCGAATCCCGAGCAACTCAGCCTAGTTAAAGATAGTGTAATCCACAGCAAAATGAGTGCTTTGCTAGCAGCTGCCTTACAAGGCAGGCCTAAAAACGCTGAGGGAGAAGTTCAGGTTGTTAACAGTGATGATGCCAAAGGTACTATCACTCGTCCTACTCTGGTGCAAAGTGCTCGAATAGTAAAACCAGTGCAATTGCAGCTGCAGCCGAACACTGTTAAAACCTCGCCACAGACGAATTTGAGCTCAACAACCCTTGAACAACTGAGGGAGTTTGATATGGTGTACAAACAAATTAAAGAGAGGAGTAGCACTACTACTACTGAAGGTAGCAGTGGCTCCGGGGAAAACCAAGAAGTACCCCAGCAGAGGATCAGTGTAACCTATGTTAATCAGTTGCCTAAGTACACTCAGTTATCGCCTGTTGTTGTGGTGACTAGCTATAGTAGTTTGCAGCCTGCTGCCTCCCCAGCTCTAAGTGTCACTTCTCAAGGCAGTTCGAGCCCTTGTGTAACCCCAGCATCAACTCCTACTTTGCCCAAAGTTGCTACAAAGCCTTCATCCAAAGGCAAGACTTTGAAAACTTCTCCTCCAAATAATACTGTTGCTACCAAATCGTCTCCCATACCGAAACCCCAGCAGAAACCTCAAGAGGATGAACATACCACACAAAGAATTTTCGATATTCTTGCTGAGTATGCTGAGCAATTGCGTAATTCTCCGGATTTGAACAATAAGCCAGCGCCTAGAAGGAGATCCAACCCGCCTACTAACCCTAACCATAGCTCTAAACGCAAGAAGAGTTCTTCAAATGTGAAGAAGTCAGGACAGTCCAGTAGTTCCTTGGAAATGGATACTGATGATGTCACCATTGGTAGTGAGGATAGTTCTGGCGGGGGAGTCTTGCAACTTTCAGTAACAGATGATGAACAGTCTCAAGCTGCCACTGTCAATGCTAACGATTCCAACCTCGAGTCCACCTCGAGTCCACCTTCTTCCAGACCCGTCATTTTGGCTGAGGGTGCCACTTGTGGAACGCAATCTAGAAATCTCATCATAGCGGATTCCAGTGTAGGTGAGGCATTGAAAATGCCTAATACTGCTGTTATTGTACCTGGCAGCTACATAATGCCCGTTTCCATGGTCAAAGGTAAGCGAGTAATAATTGTACGAGTGTTTTGTGTTTACCGCGGAAGAGTGATTTATTTTTCACATATATAAGGAAAGGAGTAGAGTAGAATCATTCAATTGATCACTATGTTCTTTTTTATGTTTGTAGACTTAGAATTTTCTATTTAGATGTTTGACTTGAAAATCAAATATTTCTGAAGCTTTCTTGAATGTGGGCCGATTTGGGAAAAATTTCGCAGATTTTTTGGATTCATCAAATTAGTATTCGCGGTCGTCAAGGTCAATAGATTATGTTGCGATGATATTTAAAACTACAGGAAATCATCCTAACTCCTGGCATAGATTGAAAGTTAGACATGTTTTCCCGTAGTTTTTAATGTCATCACAACGTCATCTAATGTCTAATCTTCCTAGGTTATTATTCGATAAAAATTGTAAATTCTTCAGGTTCCTCACCTGATGTGACATTACTGTATTTACAAAGTGGAATGTTATCCTCAATGTATTAGTAAAAATTAGGTTGTAAGGCTTAAATTTATGAAATTGAAAATTTCTAAGTCCTAAACAGAATGTGCTGTGTTTTTTTTTATGAATAGTTATGTCATTGGTTTGTTACAGTTCTACAGGGTATCCAATAAAGACCACGTCAAATTGAAGGAGAAAGTAGATTAAAGCTTACCCTATCTGCTACAAAAATGCCCATGATACATTGAATTCTTTCCACTCTCAGTATTCCTTTCTGTATTGTTGGTACAATTTCACACTTGTTTAATAATTTGTTGCCAGGAATGAAATTGTCGGATGGATATTCTACATTGAAAAAAATCTGTCTGAAATGTTTTTTTTCTCGAAATTTTGATGGTAGATATTATTTATGAAGAAAAATATCTTGAAAACGGTTAGACCTCTATCATGACTTTTCAGAGCAGATAGGGTACCCTTTGATTTACATTATTCTCCTCCAATGTGAAGTGGTCTTCAGGGGACTCCATGTTTGAAATCAGTGAATGTTATCATTTTGTTTGCCATATGCAACTATATTCTAAAATATATTAGTACTTCAAAAACTAGTTAATTGTCTTTATTATTGGCTGAAATCATCTGAGAACTACTGTTGTATTTTTTTTTCACTTGCTACATATTATTTTGAGTTTGATTATATTTATTTTATACTTGTAAAGTAGATTATACGTTCATTTAGGATGGACACATATTATTAGAGTTGAGAACTGTCTTTGTCCTGTATATATAATTCATAATATGTATTTTTTAGTGCCAATAAACTTTATTTATTTTTTCTTTCATCTCTGTTTTTTTTATTTGTTCTGTTTCCTCTTTTTTATCTCTCTGCCTTATGTATTTGAGTAGTTTTTCCCTGTTGTCACAGTTTTCTGTTTGCTAAAAATGTTTGTATTTGAATTAGTTCAAGGTTCAACACCTTTCCAAGTGAATGTTTTGATTTTACCGTCTCTAGTTATCTTTGTCACTAAAGAACATCGTCATTTCGTGAGACTGCTCAATTATTTGATTCAAAACATTCCAAAACTGAAATGTGTGGGCCCACTTCATTGATCATTGTGTGTTGCTTCATTGTGGCAGTAGCAGAGTGATGTGCTATTTTTGTGATTTCTCTTCACCAGTTTTGTGTTTAGTTAGCAAACTACACCGCCGTATTATTTGATTATTATGTGATGATTATACAGGGTGAGCCAAGTTTTTGTAGCAGGACACTGACGATTGATAGAAGATCTCATTTCAAGGGGTGTTGGGAGTTGGGAAAAGGAATTTATTGTTTTTTTAAATCTCGTCGATGACATTTGGAAATTACCGTTTTCATACTGATAAAGTCACGCATCAAAACTGAAACGACCTATTTTAGCTACCGGGTGGCCCAACTATTTTGTAAATTTCTGACCAGTGAGATATCAATTTTGTCCAGAAAAGCATGTGGCTCACTAAATAACCATATTTGGTATAATTTGGAAAGGTATGAAAAGATTATTTATTATCATGTAGTGAAATAGTTTCTAAATCACAGGAAATCTAAGGAAAAGTAAGACTGTTCAATTTGAAATGAACCCCCGATGGAAAATTCATATGCTATGACAGAACTATGTAATTTACATAACCTATTGAAAGTGGAGGAAATCTAAGGAAAAGTCAGACTGTTCAATTTGAAATGAACCCCCGATGGAAAATTCATATGCTATGACAGAACTATGTAATTTACATAACCTATTGAAAGTGGAGGAATTAAATACATACCCATGTTAATGAAACGTTTCTTCTCAAAAATATATATATCTACTTCAAAATGTCCTGCTATGAAAACTGTTGTCTCTAGGGAGTATGTAATGAAAATTATTCTACTTCAACAATAATTGTGGCATAATCAATTGAGATGCCACAGAGTGAAAAGGTAGGTCAGATGCTCTGATTTTTCTTATACTCATATAGATATTAAAGGGAACCTTTTTTAAAGGTAACAAACCCATCACTAACATAAAAGGTATCGCTATTCTAACAAATGTGGATATATGAGTACATATGCATATATAACTTTTAATTTAAACACTTCAATATTTCTGTTTTTATTGAAGGTGGCCAACAAATAGCTGTGGTATCAGGTGGTAGCAAGATTCTGGCTACAGTCCCCGCCAGATCAGGCCAAAATATGGTGTTTTTCCAGAGTTTCATGAACCAAAATCGAAAAGGTGCCATATCGGCTGTAAAATACTCGACTATCCAACCCATTTCTGGAATATCATCCCAAAGCTTGGCCGGTGTTAGTGCTCAACCCCCTGTAATATTGCCTTCAACGGTAGCCCTTGGACAGCCTCTGACGTTGAAGAAATATGGAGACGACAGGGAAGGTGGAGAACTACTTCTGACGATTTCTCAACCAAAAGAGAGTAATAGTGACCAGAATGATATTCCACAGCCTGATAGCAGCACAAGTGTTTCAAGTGATAGTGTCGATATAAAAATAGAGGATTCGACTATACAGGGAGACCATCATGATGAAAAGATATTTCATGGTTATCAGAAATCTGTTATCACGAACTCTGTTGGTACATCGGTCATTGCAACAACTTCATTACAACCCATGAAGGAGCATGAGAACCATCATATAATCAACTTGACTTCCACGAACAGTATTAAAGGTAAAGTTCAAACAAATTATTATTTCTAGATCAGGCAATGTTCCATTGCCTCATGAAACAAATCTATATTCAGAATATCAACTTCTATTTCATATATGGAAACCGATAATCGATCCAACGTGTTGATCCGCAAAAATGGAGATTAAATGAGGCATCTTTATGGGCAAATTAAATTGATTCCTTTCCAAAATTACCTCATATTCTAGTAATCAACCTCCAACAACATATTTTTAACAATACACTGTTTACGCCTCTACAAGTGTTTCACTATGAGCCGTTAAAGGTTCCAGTGGTTCACTTTTTTTATATATTTTCTCCATTTATGTTTTCTACACTTTGATAACCATACAGATGTTGAGTTCAGTAACTCAAAAACTTTCTACAAATATAACATGCATAACTTAATTGATAAACGACCCCAATGTAGTGATATTCCAAACCTTTTTTGTGGTAAATGAAAGACATAGGATAGGTGGTTGGGTACTACACCTCAGATCTGATAAAATTTCATATTTGGTATTGAATCAGTTCAATGTCATAAATGTAAAATTTTGCAAGTTAGTAACCAAATATGATACCTTATGATCAGAATCATAAAGGGAGTTAATTGCCTCCGGGTCACCAATGAGTATTTTTCATTATTGATCACTATTATTCCATTGGAATAGATCAAATAATGATCGCATAGTATTCTGAAGGTATTCAATATCAATTTGCATTTAATTACTCCCAAGGAAAGAATCAAGCCCAAAAATCTATATGAGAAAAAATATTGAAACCCACAAATTGAAGTAGGTTCTTTATTTCAATGCAGCTGTTTAAATTTTCATTTTTTATAATGTTTTTCTAATGACTCAAAGAGCAGGTACCTAACTTGAATGATGAGAAGCAGCCTTCGTCTATTATTCATGATAAGTTATATCATATACTTGCTTTTTCACTTTTTTGTTGGTACATTATTTTTCATTTTTGTATTGTGAATGAAATTACCTGAAACCGTTGACTATCATCTGACAAAATTACCAGGGTATTTTGTGTCACAATTTCATCAAATTATAACTGATAATATACACATATCAATTTTTCAATCTCTGTCATCATATTGAACTCGTGAGATAGTAAATTCGGTTGAATTAAAAAAAGAAGTGTTGGTGTTTGATGCTGACTAAATTAATCCTCAAAATATGACGGATGGACTGTATAAAAAATGTAATTTAATTTGTTGCTACGAGAGAATGAGAAAAATTATATTTGATTTTTTGACTTATTCTATAGGTTCTTGAAGTTGGACAATGTTTTCTGAATGGTAGGTACTCTAAAATTTTTACTCATACTGGTATTGAATGTCAGATAGGGGCATTATTATAACCAAATATATTTAGGAAATCATATGGAGATGTATGGAGTAACCACTAACACATGGTTCACACCATCATTCCATTACTTCTGATTTTTTTTCTTTCAAATATTGTTTTGTTCAAGAACGCATCTGAATACAATAATTGTACTTGGCACTACTTGCAGTTTGACCAGGAATGGATCCAAATTTTATATTTCCATGTCTGTTTGAAACTTGATCTAATACTAGATGATAGAATAATATTTGAAGTTGATTAACATAACGAATCTGCTCGTTTACTTTCATTGTTGTCTCCAGGTATTAGTACTTCTTATTTATCAGACTTGTTTTTATAGTTGAACCCAAATCAGGCGAGAGGATGCAGTCAGTTCTAGTGACTGCATGTTCCTCAAATGGGCCTATGTTGTCCCACACCACTCCCAGATATCGAAAACCTATGGACATCGCCAGAACAAACAACAATGAACCAATGAAGGAAGAATTCCTCAATAATGGAGAAAAGGTACCTAGTTGATTGACTCCATAAATATTTTTACTTGGTTAGTTCCTTCATGTATTCTGCGAGTGCATTATTCAACTCTTTATTATTCTGTTATTTACATATCATGGAGTTGATTTCCATATGTATTTAAATAGCGGGTAATATTGGGTACAATCTCTGAAATCAGTAGGAGTGGTCAGTATATATTTGTTATACATATTTCTTCAAACATAACACATTTTGAATATTTCCCAATATCACAAGACTTCGATTTGGAATCTACAAATTCTGATCAGATAGTAGGCGACTAGTTGGTATTGGCTATTGAATATCTTGCTATTTAGACAGTGCTCTAATGTTTTGGAGACAGCGGACTGCGGAGGTAATCCTTCCAAATGACGTCGTTTGATAATATTGCTGAAGCCGACAGCGTTGTCAAGTCGAAGGTTTGTGTGGAAATTCAACAAAATTTGATATCATAAATTACGAAAACATTCTCTTGATTTATCATAAATGAAGAAACATTCTCTTGATTTATCATAAATGTCGAAACATTCTCTTGATTTCCGTTGGTGACACACTTATATAGCCCAGCGTTTCAAGCGACTTTGCTACATTCAAAACAAGTTTTGGCTAAGGTAGTAACACAATTCCTGGAATTCCCTCCCATGTTGCAGTGACAAAGTGACATAAATGTCGCTACATTCACAACAGTCTGGGGAAATGAACTTATTTGTATTAGTTGCAGGCCAGCAATGAGCAGAAGACCTTCAGAAGTAACACAACTTACTATGTGAACAAAATGAAAAAAATAAATGCAGAATCCAATAAAATTGATAGTGAAATGCAAAAGCAAGCTGCGATTGAACGAGAACTGAGACTTCAAAAATCCTTGTCCGAAGAATGCGAAGATTTGGGAGTGGATGAACCGAGTACCAGTGACTTATTTCCTGAAGCTGACCTTCTTTTCGATTCAAACCATTCCCCATCTTTTGATCAAACATCACAGGATATTATAAAGAGGGCCCCCCAAAATAATGATAAAGAGGATGTCAAAGATAGCATGAACTTGTTCAGCGATGACGAAAATTCTAGTTCGCTCCGAACTGATTTATTCGAATACGTCGAATATCAAACAGTAGAAACGGCGTTAGATTATCAAGCGAGGCAGTTGATGAATGGCAATAATACCGAGTCCGGTTCTTCGGGGTGTGAAGACAATACACTTTTAGCAAAATGTGCAACAATGTCCGAAGTCACTTTGAATTCTCCCATTTCCCCTGAAATGTATCAGGAAAGTAGTTTACACAAATACAAATTCAAATATAGCAACCGAAAGAAAGGAGAGAAAATGAGGCAAAGTGATTTTGGAGGAGAAGTAGTTTCTAGTTCAGAGGATACAGTCGGCAGCACCGAATTGGGCAAAATCAATTGCGACGAGGACAATTACAAGGTGGTGCACGTGGCCATAACGAAAACCGATATCATGAAGGATGAGGAGAAATGTGAACTGCACTGCGATGGAAATTTGGACTCGACGAGCGGTCGAGGAGCCAGGAGGAGTGTGAGGAAGTTGTGTTCTTGCTGTAACGGCTCGCAAGACGGCAGTTTAGCTAAGAAGCGACCTCCGACTTCCAGACCACACACGCCCGCAGCTCCGCACAAGAAGGCCTTCCTCAGTAAGAAAAGATAGTGCACCTTTACATTTTAGCGAGTTCTTATTGAACTATGCAACATATCGAACTGAACATTGAAGGATGTCTTATATAACTTGTCCTATAATCAATGAACAAATTGTATTCTCTAATTGTGTGACTGTGTCAATGGCTCTTATGGTATTTTATGAATGCAGGGTTGATAAAAAATTTCTAATGATTTTTCTTTTCAGATAAATTTTTGCAATTTTAACGAACGTATGATGTTTAGAAATTAGATGAAGCAACTTCTCTGATATAAAGCTGAAACTCGATTCTGTAACAAACAATCTATATGAGACAGGCTCATTGATAACATAGTGTCTGAATATTAAAATTTAAATTTCATAAAAATATTCTGAAATTTGAGGGTATTTTGGTATAATAATTTATTTATGGGACATGACAAATTTTACATGAAGGTGATATGGAAATATTGTTTCTGAAAGCCTGTCGACCTGTTGAATGTGATTTTTTCTTATAAAATATGTTATTTGAATACAATGGTTGACCACAGAGTCTGGTTCAATCCTTCATTTTCTTAGTTCATGAACGAATGGAAATTGCGAAAATAATTATCCTTCCACAAAGATTATATGAATGAGTTGGATTCTTGGATTTTATTGGTAATAGATCACTGTCAATGACGTCATATGACGTAAAATTGTCGGCCATTGAACAGATGATCGGTACATACATTTCCCACTATAATACAATACCTGAAGCATTTATTCATTGACAAATCATCATGAATAAGTACTGTGAGAAAAGTGAATGAGTCCAATGAAGAGATCAACTTGGTTTATTTGTCAATTTGAAATTACTGGATTCACACGAAGTCTCGTACTATACGTCAATCGATACTCAGTTTGCAACAACATATACATATTTTTCTCGTATAATATCTACAAGTTCAACAAAACTGCCAATGGGTCAGAAATAATGAAATCAAAATTCACAACACATCTTTTTTTGTCCCCCGATCAGCTGATGAAAACGACGGGTGCGCCATGTTGTGACGTCAGCTGACACTGCTCGTTTGCAGTTATGTATTCGTGAAATACTGTAAAAGCCAGTAGAAAAGGGCAAATTCAGAAAATAATTTGAGAAAATGTTGATTGGTTCTCAACATGTAGACTGGACATTTTTCAATTGTTCACTTGCTCGGTTGCATAGTTAAGTTGTTGGTTGTTTTTGTTGAAGTTGGGTCGCTGTTCACACTCTAGTACAAAAAATTGTATTGACAGCCAGTGTTATAGCACGGGAGACTCGATTTCTTGTATAGTCATTGCTACGTTTGCAATCTTTTTAGTACCTCTAATTGTAAATTCTCGTCTGTGTAAAATATTAAAATTATATGTGCAGTTTGTCGTTGTATATAACTAATTTAATAGATAAATTATCACATACAGACAGCTTCAGTCTGTCTAATAAGCGTTATGCTGCTCTTTCATTGAAAATGCAATAAGTTACATGTCTAACTGTCTAATTCACTACTGGAAATTTTATAGGTATTGTTTATTTATACACTATTTATTTAATTATTCTATTTATTTTGGTGAATTCTCATTCAATCAATTATGTTATATCGTCACTATTCAGATTTGATGTAAACATTTGTACTATAACAATTGATGTTTGAAAATAATATTTTTTGTGCAATAGGCATTGTAGTTTCCTATAATAATATATATCTGATTCGGGGCACTTGAAAATTCAATCTATTCATATTATTGGCTTGTAATTAAGCAGTTATTCGAATTAATTTATGATAAAAGGGAGCAGATGGAATTTTCAAATTAGATGTTTTAAAATCTAGTCAGTTATATTTAAAATTTAAACAATTTGATTCTATGATGAATTCACCTTTGCTGTTGATCCTATTTATTTTTTGTTGAGTCTTATTACTTTTTATGAAGAAGTAATGCCATATTTATTGTGAATATTTTGGTAGTTGAAATAGTTTTTGAATTACATAACATTTTATACTACTTATTAACAAAAAGGTATAAAAATTGAATTTACATTAGATAGTTGGAATAGAAAATCCATAATGTATACAAAAAAATGCCAGTGTTATGATAGGAATGCATGAATCCATCAGTATTGTGGTGTTTTTTCCTACCTGTAACTTTCAAAAATGAGAATTAATTTCAGTACTTACTGACATTTCTGAGACGTCCTGAAAGTACTTTCAATTTCTAATAAAAATGCTTAGTCTGTGTTATCTTCTGCAATAACAATCTGAGCATAAAATAATTGAAATTAAATTTGTTGCATTGAAATTTGTTTGTTTTTATGTTTTTAATTTTCGTACTATCTTCTGCGACATTGGCGACTTGAACGTTAATAGAATTTCATCACTCATCAAACAGAACATCAACATTATTATTTGTACACTATTGATAAGAGATACTGTTGCAGATACATGTCCTTAGAATGTTCTTTCTCGGATTGTTGTCTAAGATGACCCTACAAAGTTTTATTCTCAATATAGTGAGTGTTCAATATTCAGAATTCGAGCCTGACGATTTTATAGGTCCATATTTTCTATCGTACAGTGCTCTATTTTGAGAGATCAGTTTTTGAGAGTTACAAGCAAATGCCACAATAATTGTAGAAGTATCTCAATCCTTGAATGTTGTATGAATCGGAGAACACTGACTCATAAATTTCATTAAGCTGGTACTCAATCACAATTTAATTTTTTTTATTCATTCATCTGTCACAGCCTCTGTTTAGTGAATCGTTTTTTTCATCTTCAGAATGACCACTGATGTTTTTCTCTAATTGATTGAATTCAATATTTTATTCCTAAGAATGCCCAATACTATCGGGAGAATGACCAATACCCAGCCTTTACTTCATTTATTCATTCCGAGAAAATAATTGGATTCTTCAAAATCCAATTTTTCTTCCTCATTTAGGTATGCTGAAATAATAATTTAAATATTAAATAATATGGGTAAGAGAAGAGTAATGAAAAGCATTCTTTACTACACTCGGGCCGTTGAAGAGATAATTTCAATGCACCAACAAATGATTTTTACTACAATCAAGTGTGGTCTGTTCAATCCTTGATGTTCACTATATTTCTCCACCGACCCAGAGTATATTCAAAACATAATTTCTTTTCTTTTCAGTGTTTACATACAAGTTACTCTTCCATCATAAAAATTACTCAAGTTCACCCATTATATTTACACAAATGTACATTCCTCTACACTTGGTAATTTTGTAGTACTACTTTGAGTGCCTATTACTTTTTTCTACATACATTTTGTGTTTCATTTGGACAATTTTTGTAGTACCTACATCAAATACGAGATTCTGTTCTTAAAAAATGATAGATATGTAGGGCTGAGTACATGGGGTGTTGATGCATACTTGCCTAAAAAAAAAACGATAAAACTGTGCCAATTTTATGTATAATGAGTAAATAAGTGATAGCCGTTTAGCAAATAACTTGGGACTTCAAAACTTTGTATATCAGACTGTATATTATTCTTCCTATAATAATTTCAAATTTGTGCACCATTGTTACTAAAAATTATATTTTATGTTAGATCTGATTAGCAAGGATGGTGCAATCCAAACAGATTTGTACAATTTTATTAGAAATTTTTCATAAATTGTAGCCGATTATTGTGATGTCCGGATATTGAGAATATTTTTTCGCTTTTATATTTTAAATATGTTGGGGAAATGTTCTTATGATCACAATTTGGAAGTTACTCTATTATTCTAACTTCTTTTATGACGTATAATATGTTATGTATCATCAAAACTCTTCATTTCCACGAAGTTTCCATACAAGAAGCAGTAGTACTTCTCGAATGTGAATTCCTAGTATTAAAATTGTTTTAAATGAATTTTAGAGATAGAGTATTGTTTATTTAATTATCAGGATGCATTGGTGAATGATAATAAAATAGTGCTTATAATTTATAAGATTTAAAGAAAAAGTATTACTTTTATCTACTCTAATGATTACTGTACTGATATAGTTCTTTTGATTAAAGATTTTGGAAATATAAACCCATTTATTTATCCTTCTGACATTGTGCATTCATTATCGTACTCTATGCAATTTGGAAATAATTATATTTATATAAGACAAAACTTTGTATCCTTATTTTCATTACAGAATTTTTTTCCAATAAATGTTCTCAAAAAATATTCTAAGACTGTTTTTGCATCTCTATTCAAATATACTTACTTGAAGCAACATCAATATCCAATAACAGGATAAAATGGTGTCATGCACAATAATTCAGTTAGTAATTTCTTTTACGTGTTAACGCGAATATCTCGGAGGAGATGAAAGGAAACACATATGATTCGATCATGGATGTTTTTTTCGATTGTAGATTTTGATGAAACTGAGTTGATTCGTCCAGAAAAGAAATTTTTTGCCATAGTTTCATGATTTTCAGCCATTTTTTCTTGTTCGAATGCGAATATCTGGGAAACTAAGATTTCTGTTGAGCACATCGCCAATTCTGACCTTTATTAATTTGAGAAAAGTTTCTTTTTCAGACCCAAAAATCAACTTGCTCGTCGTAGTGCCTTCCAATTTAGTACGCAGGGTCCTTAGGGGATGCCCTTTATATACCGGGTGTCCCAGTATACCTGTTCCAATGAATTATCTCAGCCATTTCGAAAAATAAAAATTCGAAAATTCCATGTTCTCCAATTCGTTCAAGGAAACTTCAACTGAGAAAAACAAAAATTGAAAGTCACTTCCGGTTTGACCGGAAATGACTAACTTTTTTATTTCAAATAGCACCCTGTATATTTTTTGCAATTTTTCATTTCTACCCAAAATTACCGTTCCAACGATGTATCACACTTCATATTTTAAATTTGATTTGATGGGGATAACGACAATTGAAATTTCAAATTGAACGATTTGCAGTAGGCTACGCTATTTTTGTAATCTTGATTTTGACTTCAATAATAATTTCAAATTATTAGAATTGTAGTCGTAGATCATGTAATTTTCATCTTTCGAAATGGCTGAGATAATCTATTGGAACAGGCATACTGGGACACCCGGTATATATTTGTGTTCGGATAGATTTCCGCGGTGCCTACTCCTCAGTGACCTCAGTTAATATCACGGAAGGTATGTGACTTGATGTTGATGCCGGGGTCTCAATCTGCCTACTCCCCATCAGATCTGGCCACTGGTTCTCTCTATTGAGACCTTAGAGATCTGGCCTACTCCTTCGAGAGAAGTGAGAGTGTGTTAGTGGTGGAGCGGTATTTATAGTGGATGTGGTGGTGAGTGGAGCGGAACTAGGAGCGTGGTTGTTATGACGCATGGTGTGGAAAGGCGGGAAATGAGAGGTTTCCAAATGCTAGAAAGCCTGCGGCCGTCGTCGCGAGTATTGAGGCACAGTATTCGCGATAGAAAATAACACGTCACCCCACCTGACGGCAACAACTTGAACACTTCTGACTGGTTTGTTTTGATCATATGGCCAATAAGCACGAACAAAAAACAAATTTGAACCAATGAAAACAAAGAAAACATGCCGCTTTGACAGCTTCCAAGAACTCCGATAGATGGCGTACGCTTATTTTCTATCGCGAATATTATCCTTTCACGCGCTTCTCTATCTCAAGGGCTTCGCGGATTATCCATGCAGAGTTCTTTCGGTGGCGATTGTTTTGGCGTTTTCGAATAAATCTATTGAGTGGCCTGTTTCTTCGTAATGTTTGAAGTCTGCCGAGGAAGGGTCTAATTTTCGGACTGCAAGTTGATGTTCGTGAACTCTACTAGTAACGCGTCTATTTGTTTGGCCAATACATGTTCTTGGGCAAACTGAACAAGGTATTTCATATATGCCCTCAGAATCATTTGATATTGTGTCTTTAGGTGTTCTGAGGAATTTTGAAACTTGGTGAAAATAGTTTTGATATCAAGTTTTCTCAGGATTCTGCTGATTTTGTCAGTTTACGCCTTTGAGGAATGACAAGACCACTTTATATGACTTGAATGTTTTCTGTTGGATATCTTGGTTTTTGGGCCTGTAGTTGATTGCGGATGGACCTATCGATTCGTGAACTATTCTGTAACCATTCTGTAGTAAAGTGGATTTGAGTTTGTTCAACTCGTGTGGTCGGTTATGATATTATCGCTGATCGAGTTGAATCGATCTGTGGATGAGGGAATTCAACACGGAGTTGGTTTGTGCAGGATGATGATGGGATGGAGTTTGCATGAAGATAACGGTTGGTATGAGTAGGTTTCTTGTATACGGTATGGGTGAAGGGTCGTCATAACTATTGGGACATAGGCTATAAGGCGAATTGTTATTGGGACCAAAAAATATGGCGATATGACCAAATATGCCTTAATAATAAAATTTTGCTGTGGAAAATGATACAGGTCGTTTCAATCGAAAATATATTGAATATATAAACTCGCACCAACATTTAATCACTGACAAGAAATGACTTTTACCAGCAACAATTATCTGATAGTCCAAAGCACACCAGTCTTAATGAATGAAATAATTTTTGATTTCCCTTCCGAGACTTTATACTGTCAAATTGCGTTTTTCTCTGAAATAACTGAAAATAAGTTTCGTCAAAGAAGTTACTAGTTGATTTCATCATCAGGAATCATTTACGTGGCGCTCCCTGTATAACAAACTGTAATACATACAATAATATCACCTGTATTAAATTATGACTGTGCCTCTTTTGATAACAATTGATGAATATTATAATGAAATTATATGCAAAAAACGAAGAAAAGATCAACTTCATTAAGGCATATTATTTCGTTCTATCGATCGCCATATTCTGGTCCGTCCATAGCCCATGTCCCAAAATAGTTATGACTCACCCTGAATATTTTTTCTTTTTTGGATGCGATCATCTCGGACAATGAGAAAGATAGAAATGAACTGATATCAGACTTTAGTTCATCACATCTGGTATGTGAGTTATCAGTCCATTCTGTCTCCTAGAATTGGTCGAATAAAGACCAAAGGGAACCTTGTTTTATTTCTCAGACCCCAAAACAATTTTGTCGTAGGGCCGTCAATAATATGTGTATACAGCCAAGTTCCTATAAAATTTCCTATCGTGGATGATAAGCTGATATAGACAGGAAAAAAAGGAATTAAATGGGTATGGGGTTACTGAGAAAATACGGGATTCGGGAATAGATGTTCTTTCCATGAATAAAAAAATCTATCTGTTTAACATTACAAAATTTATTACATAATCATACCGTACGTGTGCTTTCTAATCCATGTTCATGTTCAACAACGTATGCGCTTTATTGCAACTCTGAATAATATATCGATAACATGAAACAAACAAATGAAACTGTGGTCCATGGTAACTGGTATATTTACACTTATGGAAAAATCACAATGATGTCTGTTTATGATTTAGGATTCTTCGGCTTCTTCTCGGAAGAGATAAGTTGACCAATATATAACATTGAACAACGCAAACACTAGTGGAAATGTAATTCTCGAGATCACGTCGATTCGCTTGGACCTTGTTGGGAACTTCGACAGCCAGGATTTGCAACAGTTGGGACGAGCGGGTTGCATATGGATTTCGCACTGGCGAACTTTTTCCAAGCTCATCGGGTCTCCAGGATGTCTCACTAGTGGTTTCTATAATGAAAAGTAAGCCCATTTACCAACTCACTATCAACTCTATCAGGTCAATCAGGTGGTGTATAACATTTCATATACATATACAAAGACTTTAACTGGAATAAATTCGCCAGCAGGGAGGTGAGTATTTTTTCTAAAAATTACCGAAATACTTTAACGGTTCAATGTATTTACCTACCTTTTGCAAGCAATATCGAGAATGTATCCTTTCAGGGGTAGCTGAAACCACCCTCAACATGTTTTTTTCAAATGCAACCCTATATATGGCTTATTATGACCCCTTATTGGAAGGCTGGGGAAAATAGGAATCCAGCGTACTGGTCAAATTTTAGTTTTTTGTACGTTTTAAAGTTGCATAAAATCAAAATGTAATTTTAAAATTCAATTTATTTTCGTAACAATTGCTCAAATCGTGTGTTGAACAATTGAAGACAAAATTTATTGCCACAACTGCTATTGGCTATTGTATTCCAGTGTTTTTATAAAGCCGTAAAGAGAAAAGGTTTTTATATTTTGATTTTATGCGACCTTCCAAACGTACTGCAAACTGAAATTGGATCAGAGTATACTGGATTCCTGTCGTTTCAGCATAATCAGGTTGATTTCAGCTACCCCTGGAGGGTTATATTCTTTATATTGATTGAAAAATAAAGGTAAATACAATAAAACGTTGACGTGTCTTGCGAATTTTCAAAAAAATCATTCACCTCCTCGCTAGCGGATTTATTCCAGTCAAAGTCTCCACCCTGTATTACGTGTTATCATACGAGATAATTTACAAGAGATTCGCTCAGAAATTCTGAATACTCTCAACAATTGAATAGAATGGGATCACTTTTTTCCTACTGTGATTGTTCAACAAGTTTTCTATCACTTGCGCAACAATTCAATAAGTCATATAGCTCATGTACGGAAAGCTCTGATTATTCAAGAAATAATCAAGAATAATAAAGTATAACAATCTAGTGAAATATCATTTTTTTGATGTTTTCATGCAAAAAATATCCCTTTGACAAATAGAAGTTTTTCATTGAACAAATACCAGAATTGGCCCAAGATGAAGTCTCAATGTATTCAATTATTATCAATTATTTTCAATCAGGAACAAAAATCTAAGGTCGGACATGCAGCATCGCAGAAATAAACTGAAGTGTACACTGGTTCTAAATTACACGTACCCTCCTCTGTGGTATACTGATTTTAGCCGAAATCATCATACCGACGCTGCTCGAATGTTTTATATTTATGTTGGTTGAATTTAGAATAAATAGATTATATCTTCCCTTCCTTATCAAAAAGAGTTGGAAATTATAGGTAAGGTTCTATAAAGTTACGAGGTTTTGACGAGTAAGTGACCGCCTTGCAAAATTTGTTGAAAGTTCCTAACTGAAAGGACCTCCCCTCCTGTGAGTTACCTGACTTTTTGGAGTTGCGCTAGAGTTCACTGGAAAACTTGTTCACAGTTCCTCACTGAAATGAGTCTCCCTGAGCTACTGGAAGCTAGCCGCGAGTTACCTAGACCTTCACTAGAGTTCATTGGAAAATTTGTATTTTGTTTCTCACTCAAATTAATTTCTCTAAGTTCCTGGGAAGTCATCTGGAATTCCTGCGAAATACTCGACTCCTTGGAACCCGATCAAATTTACTGAAAAACTTGTACATGTTTTCTTATCAAAATCCCTGCGAGTTATCTGACTGCTCTCGGAATTGCGCTAGCTCAAAGTTACTTCATCACAAGAGCTCACCCTGGTGAGTACTCGAGAGTCAATTAGTTAATTTGACTCCTGAAAGTGACGCTTGAGAAACATTTGTACATAAATCCTTCATATGGAATAAACCTCCCTGAGCTCCTAGAAGGTCGCCTCTTGAGTTCCTGCGAGAGAATTTCCTGGAAAATATTCACATAGTTCCTTATAGAAACGGATCTCCCTGAGTCCACTGCAGTGGAATCGTTCTTCTGACGTGTACACAGTTCTTCTAATCGGTCAACCCCTCGTCCTGTAACTTACCATGGCGAAAGTGGCGTTCTCGGTATCGATCAAATCGGAGGTGGCGTCCAAAGATGCGGCGTGTTCGAGCTCGCATTGGCGTCTTTGCTTCTTCATGTTCTCTCGGTGCATGTCCGATCTGGAGGCGTAGTTGACCAAGGCGAACTCCAACAGGGCCCCGAAAACGAAAGTGAGGCATACACCTGTCCAAACGTCGATGGCCTTGGTGTACGACACTGGAGGCAACGATGCGTTTATGCCAGAGGTTTGCGTGGCCATGGTCAACAGGGTTGTTACACCTAAAAATCGACGAAGTAGTTGGTATGGGCTGTCTCCCGATATTTTCAACATCCCTAACTCCCTGATTGGGAGAACTATCAAATATTGAATAAAGAAGTTGTGAGGTTTCATTTATAATTCTATTGAGAACTATAGTAGAAACACATTCACCATGGGTCAAGTGATCTAAAAAGATAGATATAATATTTTCAAAGGGATACACCTCATGCATTTTAAAATTTCCTTTCAGATTTTTTGTCTTCTCAAATGAAATATACAGTGTATTTTCGAGATTGAAGTAAAACATGAAGTGGGCGATAAAATATAAAGGAACAAAACCAAGAGTACATTTTTTCAGAGTCAGAAGCACCGAAATGCCAATAAGTTTTGCAATGAAGCCTTCCTAAATGGTTGAAATATTTAAGATTCAGTGTATCTATCCAAAACCCCATTCCATTCATTGTTGCAATTTATACGTGGGTTGATTGGTACAGGTGAATCAGTTATTGATATATTAGACCTTATTGATATTGCTCTCAATATATTTTTTATAATGATCTATGACAACATTATTATTGTTTCTGTATTACCTGATACCATATAAAACTGAAAATTAAATAAAACAGCGCGAAATGATAGAACCTCATTATACCTCATAGCATAGACCATCATCAGTAGCCAGATATTATTGAACATTGTTGTATTGTCTGTATAACAACAAGCTCGAAAATAATGCAAAAGAGCATAGAAGGATCAATATGTCAGCTAGACCTCTATTAACTCTATGTAGCTGAAGTTGAGTGTGCACTTCTTCTAAATTTACTATAAATTTCATTCTTATATCACACGTGACCTCTAGACATTTATTATTTGGTAGTATAGGTGTGCATTGAATATAACACACGAAACCTCACAACATTTGTTTCTAACTTACTCAACAGAGCTCTTACTAGACGAATAAGTAATAAATCTCCCCATATTGCACTGAACGAAACTATATATCAGATGGATATTCCAGAATGCTCATGACAATATACTCCAAGGAGCAGAAATGGAAATCTTTCGGAGCCAATCACCTGTTGATATTATCAAAGCGGAGACATGGATATACGAGTGCCCAGCAGAGGAGAAACTCAAGTGTTTAGAAAACTTCCACTTGAAAAACCACTCAAAATCTTATGAAGGAGTTGTGGTGTCGGGGAAAATTTCGTTCAACAAACCCAATCATGGTGTACAGGGTGAATGAAACAAATTACGCTAGAATTCAAGATGTAATCCCATCAAGATCAATAATCAGTTCCGCGAATAGGAGAATCAGCTGAATTATAGTTAGGTATCTGATGGCTAGAGGTCACCATATAAAGGCCAAAGATCAGATGCAAGACAATCTGTTAGATGCAAAACGCACACGTAACATTTGTTATCAGAGATACTGTATAGATAAGGAAAGTAATTACTCCAGTGGATCAGCACATCGCAGCTACATTAGAATTATGTAAACGCGGGCATAACGACATAACAAAATGTTCGGCGGACAATAATCGCCATCTCTGATATAGCTGCTATGCTCAAAATCAAAACCCGTTTGCCTCCTACCTCTTCCAAAGTATACATTTCCTGGCCTCATTGTAGGGAGCAAAGTCGTACTTTTCCTTCCCAGGGAGGATAAGTACTTTTCCTCCCTAGGAAGGAAAAGTAAAAGTGACGTCAAGGTACGTCATCAATGAAATAACTCATACGGCATTGACGATCTAAACTATATATTTTATTATACAGGGTTATTAACGTTATTCGACACGAAGAATTGTGGCTGAAGCATTTGGTTTTTTGTCGTTTTTTTATTTCGCATGAATCGGGACCTATCAGCGCTACATTTTGAAACATTTTCATGTTGTACAGGTTGCTATTTTTTAATGGAATATCCTGTGTATTATTGCATTTTTCAATTCTCCCTGAAGAGCTGATTCCATCAATTTATCACACTTGGGGTGCAGTGGAAATGATTACAGAGATATAGAGGGTGTTCAAAATCGATTTTTTTTTCAAATTTAGTATTTTTTTGTGCCGAATTTATTCATTATTGGTCAACTCGGCTTTCCTGTCCCTATCTTAACTTTTGATTTACTATCTACTGAAGATTCAGAGTTCTGATCACCCTCTGTATCTGTTCCAGTTACTCCAACACAAATTAAAAATTTGTAGTATGCAGGAATGATCATATAACGTGCCAATAAGTTATATACTGTACCCAGTTCTTAGTTTTAGTTCTTTAATAAATTTTGTTTGTTAGTTTAATAATTAAATCATTTGAAGATGGCCTGTTATTTGATAGTGGGGCGCAAAAATTATTTGTATAACGGAGGTATAGTGTCATTGAATGATTATACTGTTCTCTGCTATATACGCGTCGGGCAGTAATAAACTTGATCCTCGGGAGGAAAATTAGCAAAATTGCACTTCCCTCCCTTGCTATACAAATAGCTATTTGGTATATATCAATGGATGGAACATCATCAAGGCAGTCGACAGACTAGTGTTCGATATGATATATGACGCATATCATAAATATTATGTGACATCTATAGTATCCCTTCTGGAACTCATTAACATTAAGTATCAAATCCCAGGACTCCAAATCAAGGGTAGGTACACTGATGTGCCTATGAATCAAGCTATAAAGGGTGTTCCACATAGACATGCTAATATTTGAGGGGTTGATCCTTTAATTCCCATGAACGTATGTCTCAAAAGTCTCAACTTTTGAGATAAGGGTGATAAAGTTAAAAAAAACCTTTTTAATGATAACTGAGATAATATGATCATAGACATCTTTATGACATTTGGTACATTTGTCTTCTATGCATCAAGGTGCATTTTCTGATGTACAAAAATTTTAATTTCCTCTACCATGGTGCCGTTATAGGGGGATATTATTGTTTATATTCTACTTAAAAATGAGCAACGAAGGGAAATTTCCAAATTTCATACAACACTATGAAAGGCCATTCAATTCTGTACAAAAAAAGTCCTGTTGCTGATACTCGATAGGACGTTCCGTTTCCGAAAACAAACGGAAAAACGAGAGCAGACTTAAAATTTGAATGCTAAGCTGAGCAGTCTTTAATTCTGGACATCCATTACAGGATAACCGCAGTACCTACATAATATTTTGAAATTGTTGCACCATTTCAGACACATATCAGACTGAATTTTGCCATCACGAAACGTTATACAGGGTGAACAAAAAAGAATCTATGCATATTTTCAAGTTCAATACCCGGTATATCTCAAAAATTATAATGTTTACGACATACTTTCATGACCATGAAGTATTACTCTTGAAAGGGTAAAATAATCGCCACATTGAATATATTAGCATGTCATAAAGAAACACTCTGTATAGGAAAGAACGCACATCATAAACACATCATAAGTCCTGCGTTGTGAATACATTTGGACACATTTCATCTGGAACATGACATATTTATAGACCTGAATCGTATCAGATCACTTTGAAGATGAAGCAGAAAGCTGAAGAAACTACCGCAGGAACTAAAGAATTTGCGTTAGTTTCAAAAATATATAGTGAGGTTCAAGATCGACATCGACATTTAGCGAAATTGTCATCAATTGTGAATACATTTGGACGAATTTCATCTGAAACGTAACATATTCATAGACCTGAATCGTAACAGATCACTTTGAAGATGAAGCAGAAAGCTGAAGAAACTACCGCAGCAACTAAAGAATTTGCGATAATTTCAAAAATATATATTGAGGTTCTAGATCGACTTCGACATTTAGCGTAATTGCCATCAATTGTGAATACATTTGGACGAATTTCATCTGAAACGTAACATATTCATAGACCTGAATCGTACCAGATCACTTTGAAGATGAAGCAGAAAGCTGAAGAAACTACCGCAGCAACTAAAGAATTTGAGATAATTTCAAAAATATATAGTGAGGTTCAAGATCGACTTCGACAGTTAGCGAAATTGCCATCAATTGTGAATACATTTGGACAAATTTCATCTGAAACATAACATATTCATGGACTTGAATCGTATCAGATCACTTTGAAGATGAAGCAGAAAGCTGAAGAAACTACCGCAGCAACTGGATAATTTGCGATAATTTCAAAAATATATAGTGAGGGTCAAGATCGACTTCGAAATTTAGAATGGGGAAGACCACTGATTTTTTAAAACGACATTATCGTGAACTCTATACTGAAAAACTACCAGTGAATTAATTTTGAATTTTTTCATTCATGCTAAGACGATGAAAACAATAAATTAGAATATGTCCATTTCAAAGCTCACAATTCCTGCGCCATTCGAAATTTTGTCAATTCATTGGTGTGACTGGTGCGACATCTTAGTCCCAACACGCCTATTGTCCTTGAACTGACCAATCACACTGCAACACTGCAGAATGACGAGGTATCAGAGAGAGATAGCTACAGGTTGGGACTAATACGTCACGGCTCCACCATCATATTTGGCTGTTTGAAATATCGAATGAAATATGCTGATTTCAAAACGATATAGATTCGATTCCCTTCAACTTCAACTCATAATATTGATTGTGAATCAAACGTAACTCATGATTCGTCGATTAAAAGAGGTTTGCACGGATTTCTTCTCTCAGTGATCTTCCCCAGTGGGCAAAACGAGCGTTCAAACGTAAAGATTCTAGCGTCTAAACGTGATCTGAGGTAACTAAAGTTCATTACTTACCAAGTGATACTCGAGCGGGCACAGCACCTTGGTCTAACCAGAACGACACCCACGATACTATCACCAACATACAACATGGTATATAGATTTGGATCAAATAATAACTGAATTCTCGCTTGAATAGAAAATCTACTTTCAAACAACTGTATTCGCCTGGAAAAAATCATAGGTAAGTATTAGAACAAATCAAATTGTCGAGACAACAATGATATAGGTATAGGCACCTGTGATAGTTTTACTGTTACAATAATCGGTCAAGAACTTTTCCAATGTGAATCTGGGTAGGTGTAAATTTTTGACCACTTGTACTGGGTCTCCTTGTTTCCATAAGAAGACCAAATCATCCGTTGTCCAACCGTCTGAAAATCATGTTGTTCATCAAACTGAATATTTCATGCAATAAGACAGATAACACAGAAATTTTGGATATAAAGCTTCATTTTTACTGGCACAATGAATACATTCAAATATTTCACAGAACACATAATCTCTGCTTCGTACGAATAAAAAGCTAAATTGATTATTATTGTCTCCTTCAAAATAAGGGTTTGTTCTAAGATTCAAAGTACTAGGACAAATTAATATGATTCTACACACAGGATTCAACAATTTGTTTCTATGTAATGTATTTTTATCGGTGAAAGAAATAACTAGATAGGTACAATTGAAAGAGTTATATTATTCTGTTAATAAAGTTTTATGTTGTCTTTAATTTTCTTGAGTTTTAGGACCTATGTTGTAAGATAGGTCGTAATAAACTTCTTCTTCATCATCAGTAACTACGACTATGAAGTATATTTCCCCAACACTCCGATTTGTACAACAGTAACAGATGCGAAAAGAAGTGTGTAGCAGATATATGAAATAATGCTTGATTGGGATCCATGATCCATCGATCAAAGTTCTGTCAACAGAAATTAGAAAGCCTTATGTACCTATTTATCACAAAGTGGAAATTTCCAAGGGATTGAAATTATCCTAACATTTTGTTGACTGTGATGCTCGCTGTGATGTGTGTTCTATGAAAAGGTCTCTTTATGCCTAATCTTTGGAGAAAGTAAATACTTACAGCTTGCCATTCTCAAGGAACATATTTGCCGATCCAGTGGATACAATTTTAGGTTCATTGGACAGGAAAGAGTGAGCGAAATCCTGAAAAATCCGAATATCGAATAAAATTCCTATGACGTATGAATGGCAATATTTAGAAGACTTGTATTATTCATGGAAATTGAACTCGAGCACCGAAAAATAAAACTTTTTCATCATTAGTTATCATATTCTCACATTTGATATAGTTTCTCATTCATGGATAAGTATTGCATGATGCCATAATTGGTTAAAAAGGCTCAAAAATCAGTTTTTAAATGTAAAATTGATGCAGTAGGTATAATGCTCGGATACCTCTAAAATGAGCATATCACAATTTCCATTCCATTCCATATTAAAGTATACATACTTATACGAGATAATTTTTATCGAGGATTGTTTCATATAACATCATCCCAAAAAAACTTTCTGAAATAACTAGTCTTGAAACTCTAATTTGGTTTACAATAGTTGGATGCTATCGAACATACTTTTTAATACACGGTATTGTATTCCATTTGAGTTGAAGCTATAGTGTAAATAGATAGTCTATAATTCGGTTAAGGTTTTTTGGTATGGATTAGTCTCTAAAAAAATGTTGTACGAATAGTGATGACAGAAACATTTCAAATCACGGCTTATTATGAAATTATGAATTTTTGGAAACTCATGAAATTGTGTTTTTATATAGAAGAAAAAGGCATCATTGAGTCCAGGATAGCTCAAAATATTCATCGAATTGAACCAACCGTACTGATGAATAGCTCTGTATCCTATGGGACGGTCTATGGAGTGAATTTTGAATTCTAATGAATCAATATTGAATTATAATTATAAATTTCCATTTGGAATGGAAATGTAAATCAATCAATTAAAATCTTCGATAAATCATAGTTGAACGTGCAATAGAATATCTAAAAATCTGTTCAAGTATTATACAAATGCTGAAGAAATATTTATGAAGTTGATCCACAAATGAGAATATATACAGTGTGACCCATTCAAAATGGAACCACCCCTGTATCTTACGTAATCGTTGGGTAAGGATCCTGAAATTTGCTGGAGCGAGAGATATACCAAAAATGCACTCTATGACCAAGTGGGGTCATCTTCAGTGATATACACTGCTCGCCAACAGCCATGAAACTACCCCAATTTCCGGAAAATGATATTAGGAGTCAAAATAGGTCGAAAATCACTTCAGATTTGGAATCAGGACGCCCAATTTACTAACTATTCAAATTTTTCCTGGAAAATTTTCAGTTCGGAAAAATGAATGAATGAAATTTTGTCGCATTTTTTATGGTAGCACCGCCCCGTATCTCACGTAATTGACTTTATCTTTGGACTTTCTCTTCCTCCAGCAAATTTCAGAACCCTACCTCAATAATTACGTGAGATACGGGGGTGCTTCCATGAGAAGTGAGACAAATTTTAATTTTACTGAACTGAAATTCTTCTAGGAAAACTTTGGTATAGTTGGTAACTTGGGCGTCCTGATTCCGAATCCGACGTGATTTTCAACCTATTTTGACTCCTAATATAATTTTCCGGAAATATTCAAAATTCATATCTCTCGCTCCAGCAAATTTCAGGATCCTTACCCAACGATTACGTAAGATACAGGGGTGGTTCCATTTTAAATGGGTCACACTGTATATATATATATAATAGCGTTGCGGACGCACTAAATAATTATTTTCTATCAGTCATCTTTTCTTTCAACAAATCCTTATCCGATCATATATTACAAAATATCAGCTCTGAAGATAGCTGGTCGGTAAAAACTTATTGGAACATTGGAATTCTGGTGATTTGTTTTGATAATTCTATATCACCACCAATATTGGAGATTTAATGTGGAAATCCCTTCTCAATATATTTCTTATTTTTTATAATAACATAAATCGTGAGTTCTAAGTAAATGTCGAAATAGAAGTAGTAGCATCTACGACAGCAAACTTTTTACGATGTTATTTTCGTATTTTTGTCTTAGAAAAATGGTCATACGGGTTGTTTTCCTATCGCTGTGACGTATAATAATTGAAGCATCCCTGTGACCTAGATCCACCCCTATAATATCATTGACGATATCCCGATCATATCAAAGTAATGCACTTTTTGGCGAAATAATGTCATCTGCAGATCTGGAGACTATTTCTTGAAACTCTTGTATTCAAACCGAAGCAACAAATTCACATTATATTTTCTAGTCTGAAAAAGTGACAGTTTGTTAAATACCGATTGTAGCAAACTTTCGAGTATCGATATCTCCTGAAAATATTTTATTATACAATTTATTCTCCTCATGACACGGTGTTTGTTGCCAAAGCCCTTCGAAACTGCCTGACCGATTCTTATGAATTTTCTTTTGCATATCTGGTAGGTCTGAGAATCGCTACAAACTATTTTTTAAATTGGAAATTCAAGATGGCGGATATCCAATATGACGGACTAATTTTCTAATTATGATCCGATAGTATATTAATTTTAGTTTTTGTTATCTTTCAGCATTATACCGACCTTATACTATATAATACTGATCCATAAGGAAATATACGAATGTAGACATTTGGCATGATGATATTGTGAAAATGTCCTTCCTTCTCGTTCGAGAAGAACAAATCAGGCATCCATACTCTGTTCGCCTCAGTTAGCGTCAGATATTTCAGCTTTCCTCCAAAATCATTGAATTTCAGCCTTTCATCCAGCCACTGCTCTCGGAATGTCAGTTGCACACTGTATTCCTGAAATTGTGTGAGAAGTGTGAATTTGTGAACAAAGTTAGTTCAACACTGGACACGAACATTACCCAATGCTGCAATTAAAGGTCTCGAATACACTATACAGGATGTCTCAGACATGAGTATATCAAATTTGACTATATAGGGGTGATTCATAATTTACATAATATATAGATGAAGATGGAATGCCCTAATTTCGAGTGACAATGAAAAATGAAAAAACTCCACCGCCCTGTGTGAGAGTCGAACCTATATATACAACATCTGGGTTAGGTGCATGTCACTTTGGGAATTGGGAGGATTCTCTCGCCTGTGATGAGAAGTTGAGAACTCGACCTTCCTGCTGGTTGATCGACGGGTGTCCCGTTAGCTCAATTAGCAGAGCGTTAGACATGTAAACCAGAGGTTGTGAGTTCGACTCCCACACGGAGCGGTGGAGTTTTTTCATTTCCCATTGTCACTCAAAATTAGGGCTTTACATCTTCACCATTATATTATATAGTATAATAATCCATCAAGACAAATAAGAAACGAAAAATCTTCTCTATAAATGTTTTTCCTGATTTCGAAATACATCAGGGTGTGAAAGTTGACAATGAACATGTGGTTTCAATTACTATATGAACAAATCATTCAAATGAATCATTTAAACACCTACTGAGACAATGAAAAGGTGATTTGAATTCCTCTTAGTGTTCTCTGAATTGTGTTGTAATATACCCATTTTATAACGAAACACCATGTATAGCGAATACTGGAATGATATATTTGATATGTCAACTGAAATTTCAAAGTTCCAGTAAATTTGAGAGGTTACTACCATCTTTCAAATCAATATAATAGCACAATATGGCGAAATTTAAATATACTATACATATTCATGAAGTCACAAATCATGAATGAAAACCAGAAAGGAAGCTCGATCTGACTTTTTCCAAATATCAAAAATGTATCCTACAAAATCATAGATACAAGGTGTTTTCACTCATGATTTGATTGTTGAATGGTACATGTGCCATGCAAATTTATAATTAAGTGGAACACCAGGTCTTAAGAAATTCGAGACCCATAAGCATCATTATAATAAATAATATCAGTCAGCATGCTGCATGCAAAAAGCCGCAGAACAGAACAAATTGTGACAACATATTTGTTCTTCATTCAAGAGAATAATCTATAATAAAGGCATGATAAAGTTGCGATAGAAATGTTTTGATTGAAGAAGAAAGAATCAAAGCCTAATTTTTATCTGAAATTTAACATTGAATCTCAAAGATATTTGACGAAAGTACAAATCTAATAACTGAAAATTGAAGAAAAATAAAATATGACTCAATAACTAGTACATATTTCCTATAGAATACATCGGCAGCTTATACTGATAGTAAATTGTGGATAAATGACGATTTCGTTGAAACAAAAAACTAATATTTTCTGCATCTATTCACAATGAATTCCTTTGTATCTCATAGAGAAGAAAAAGTTTTAAAAAATCTTGAAATCTATCGAATAGCCAATATCTTCAGGTGTCAGGTATGTCTTCCGATACTTTCGATGTGTATAATATTCCCATGTTTTAACGAAATTGGTAGTTACCTATATATAGTTACAGTTTAAGATAATAGGGCGTTATGTACAGGGTGTCCCAAATTGCTTGCTTTTGTCAGTTTTTCCTATTTCCAGAACAGCTAGAGAAAAACTGACCAAGGAGTCTAGAGCTTGATTTTTGTGAAACGTCGATTGGTGAAAACCGCATTTCAATATCTCTAACTATTCTCAAGACATAGGCATTTGACCGATTTCAAAAATTCGCCATAACATTTTTATTTTTGGATATTTTTCTCAACAGAAAACACTTTCTACAGGCACTTTTCAACGTTGAATGATATACATCTGCCAAAATTATATCGCATATCAATTGTTTGATATCAAAGCCAACTGTTATTTCAAATAGAAACCATAGTTGGAAAACCAAAAAAAAAAGCTCTCCAAAAGTATATATATGTCAAGACAGGTCTAGTCATCCTCACTGTCTATATAACAAGCAAGAGTTGTCCTCAATATCTGTCAGTTCGATATTGATTGAAATAATTAAAAGCTGTTTACAACTGTCTGATCCAACAGAATGTATGAAAACTTTGAAAATGCTTCATTGAATCAGACCGAAATGCTGAAGCTGCGAGAAATCTATATTTCGATCGATACCCTCTACGTTAAAATGTGCCTGTAGAAAGTGTTTTTCCGTTTATGAAAAATAAAAACTTTATGGCATATTTTCGAAATTGGTCAAACAATGTCATTTTTTGCCTATATCTCAGGAACGGTTAGAGATATCGAAATGCGGTTTTCACCAATCGACGTTTCACAAAAATCGAGCTCTATTCCCCTTCGTCAATTTTTCTCTAGTCGTCCTGGAAATAGGAAAAACTACAAAAATCAAGCAATTCGGGAACCCTGTACGCTCTGTAGACAACAGTTCCGTTAGTCAACGATCATCTCGTCGAGTTCTCGTGATTAATGTCTGACACTTCACACTAATTCCAGACACATATCTGTCATTGGATGAGAAGTATAACACGGTTTCACTGAGCATAATAAATTTCACACGATGTCTTCTCCGACTCACTGTTATCTTTGGCGAATATGAGACATTTTGTTTTCTTGGCAAATACAACATTGCTCGAATGGACACAAAATAAATAGGTACCAATGATATTCTACAAATTATTACAGCTTCTTAAGTTCTCGATGATATATGAAATAATGAAGAGAACGTGTAAGTACGTATTAAATAATATCGTATGTACGGTGAAATATGTCGACCTTGTCTACAGGTTGTTTCCAAATACCTATTTATATTCGAATAGAAAAAAAATAGATGACACCATGGTGTAATATAAAACAGAAATGTATCTTACAGGGGTAGTCCAAGATCAAGGGGTGAAGACTAGAATAATTAATTAATTAGGTGGATACATATTAGTACCAGGGCCATCAGAGTCGATAATTGAATCTTATTTTATTCCGTGGAATTTCGAATGAAGGAATATTACGATGAGTGTGATGATGCATAGCTAATGGATGGCACAAGCATTAAAGTCACTCTTATTGCAGGTATATTACCAGGTGTTTTGGCTAAAAATGTGTCATAATGCCAAGATGTCTGCCAGTATATGCAGTGATTTCGTTTCTCTATTGTAACTTCTTCGTGGGTAGCTCGTTTTATAATTTTTATAAATTACATATTCGTTCTAGTCTAGATGAATCATGTATCAGAGAAGATTGCTAAACAGTTTCTCATATCTATCATCATTTTAGAGCGTGGGGATTAACAACAATTTCCTATATAGCTGATCTTCATGAAATGGCAGAATTACATCAAAGTCTTCATGACACATGACGACATGTTTCCTTTTTGGTGTAAATTGTAACAGATATGGGAACTTGGAGCCACCTTAGAAGTGTTGAAATGTCGAAAAAAGATAAATATGCCTTTACTGACGGCCACCTTGAAATTTTGCCCACACATATATTTTTACAAAATGCCTGGTAGATTGACAGATTGTGTTATCCACCAGCTATCCATCGCCACTTCTGTCGCACCAGTCTTTTATTCAGAATCCCACGGATAGCTATACATTTGCTCCCACACTACATCGCAGCGAGCACAAAAACATCTCAGAGATGTTAAAAGTACGAGATGTCGAGACATTGAACCTTCACTGCGATGTCCTATACACACATACACGCAGGCGACGTTTATAAAGATATCCTTGGGATGTCACAAAAATACATTCTCCCTGTTCTTTTTTAATAGCCTTTTCATGGACACAACATAACCTTTCCAAAGCGTTTTCGCACATTCATTCGCTGCAAATAAACCATTCCTGGTGGGTATATTATAGAAAAAAAAAGGAAATTAAACAAGAGCTTCTCCTGCTGAGGAATCGAACCTACACCTTGTCCGCTGCATAGGAATCTTATTTATTATTGATATGAATAAAAAGATGCACTCCATTATATATAGTAGGATAATTATTAGCATTATTGTGGCTAGAGATTAATAGGGTGAGTCAGGAGAAACATTATAAATATTGATTCCAAGAATATTATCCATGCATACAATGTTTTGATACGATTCTGTATACTCTCAGAATCAGAATATTCTGAGAATATGTCGAATTGAATATTCATGAAATATTTGTTGCCAGGATCAAAATATTCTGCGATCATTCTGAGAACATTCTATAAAAAAATTCTGAAACAAGTACGAATGTTCTGAACGTTGTCAGAATATTCGTAAAATATTCTGTGCTGTTTGGTATAATATTACGGAATATGGACGACACGTCTGGTCATTTTTATTTATACACCGTTATGTCGTAGATTCTGTTCTGAGAAAAATAGGAGGTCGTTGGTATTGTAATAATGGAATGAGAAGACGCTGCATACGAGAATGCGAACAAGAACATAATCGAAAAGAAATCGAATTCATAGTATTGTGACGTAACATGAGACGTTGTGGGGTGAACAAAGAAATGGAACAGAAGACCTCATTAGGAAGTTCATTTTACGTCTCAAAAACATTTTCATGCCAACATTTTTAAAAAATCCCAAAACATCCCAGAGATACTTCCTCAGTAGGCAAACAAAGAAATGCCACAGAAGAACATAAACAATACTATCAATATCCTTTGAAAACCTCTTTGGGAATACAAATCACGTCTCAAAAAAACATCTTGATGCCTAAATTTCTAAAACATCCCAAAACATCCTAGGAATGTTTGTGCTCGCTTGGATACAGGGTGATTCATAATTCGCTGTGAATATTTCGAGGACATATTGTTAGGATTAATATTTTTAATTTAAATAAGACCTTTTCTTCATACAGACATGTGTCCTAAAATGCAACCCCTTCGAGCTACAGCCACTGTAACCCAGGTAGAACATCATATTGGCTAGACCTTGGTTTCAAATTAGCCCAATATTCGAATATTGGATAT